CGACCCCTCCTGATCCCCCCGAGATCCCACCCTGAGCCCCCCAGGACCCGCCGGAGCCCCCGCACACAGGTAAGGGCCGCCCGCACCCCCCGCGGGTCCTTCCCCTCCGCCCGACGCCGCTCCCGGCCCGGTCCCCCCAGAGCGGGCCCAATTCGGGGCTGAGGGGGCCGGGGGGGGACGGGCCCCCCCGGACGGGGGGGCCCGTCCTCCCCCCGGCCCCCTCAGCCCCGAACGGGGCCCGCTGGAGCCTCGGAGCTTAAAACTCATCCCGTTTCCACCCCCTGCCCATCCACTTTAGCCCAGGTGGCTCCAACCTGGCCTCGGACGCTTCCAGGGGTGGGGCAGCCACAGCTTCTCTGGGCGACCTGTGCCAGGGCCTCCCCAACCCTCCCAGCCGAGAATTCCCTTCCCAATATCCCATCTAAGCCTGCCCCTCTGAAAGCCTGAATCCATCAGGTCCTGCTGATGGCCCGAGCCAAAGTCTCTGCAATAGCAGAGCCAGCGCTGACAGGCCATGAGCTGGGGCTTCAGCTCATTAAATACTGGTGCCAGGTCTAAAACACACTCCCTGCTCAGGGTAACTCCAAATATCGACCTGAGAGCTGCGGCTCCCCCTCAGCGGGACCCAGTTACAGTTAAAATTAAAGGGCAGGTCCTGCAGGTTCTGTGCTGCCATCCCAAAGCCGGGATCCAGACCCCCGAAGGGTTTTCTGCTCTGCGCGCTGTCCCTGGGGTGAGTTTGGAGGGCTGTGCCTGTGTGGGGCTGTTCCTGCTGCGCATTATTCTTGTGTTATCTGAGTGTTGAGCTCGTCCTGAGCTGTGTGGGGATGGCTGAACCAGAGCAGCTGGTGGTGGGAATGTTTAAGTGGACGGTGACGTGCCAGTGCTGTTGCTGTGGGTTCGGGAGGATTGTGTGTTCCGTGCAGCAGTGCCAGCCTTTGCAGAGCTCTTCAGGCTGCCAGCTGGAGCCTCTGGAAGCCTGAGCTGCATTATCTCTGCCCCTGCTCTTTACTTGATGGGGGTCTGTTTGTTGGATGTTTACACCCTCATTTTCCTAAAATAAGCCTGTTCCTGAAGCCACAGACCCAAATGAGTCTCATTGAAACACTGCTGGGAGTTTTCTGCACAGGAGAAAACTGTGCTGTGCCTCGTCACTGTGACAGTCTCAGGAAAGCCTTCCAGGCCTAATCAGGTTTATAGTCCCTTGAAACATTCTTCAGCTTAAAACTCAAAACTCTTCAGTCTGTTTTGGTAACAGGGTCGAGGTCTGCACATGTGTAGGTGTGATGGAGGTGAACACATTCCTCTCCCAGAGCAGGTGCACGCTGAGCCTGCCTGGAGGCTGGCGGGTTGGAAGTGGTGTTTATGTGCCTCTGATCCACAGGGAAGTTGGCTTTGATGTCCCGGAGTGGTTTTTCCACCACGAGTGGCTGCGTGTGAAGCAGAACGTCGGGACCTGCTCGGGTGCAGTGCAGAGGGTTTCTCCCGAGTGTCTCTCGGGATTGGAACTGTAAAGAATTGAAAAAGATTGAAAGTGTAAAGAATCAGGGACCCTGACAGTGCCATGGCCACACAGAGCAGCTCTGAGGCTGCAGTGCCAGTGTCCCAGGAGCCTTTTCCATGCCCAGAGCATTCAGGACATCAGGGTGGCTCCAACTGCTGGCTTGGGATGCCCTGGAGTGATTCAGTTTTCATCACACAGTCAGTGTGTTCCAGTCTGATGTCCTTTGCACTGGTGACAGGACTGACTCCTCCTGTCTGCCTGTTTGGTCTAAACTTGCCAAAAGTATGGCAAGGAGAAGCATGAAAGAGGAACTTGAAGATGCCTGGGTGCTTGAGATGTAAAATGACTGTTTAGGGTTCTGAAGTGTTGAGTTCCCATTTCTTTGGGCTGTTGCATTCACGTTGTGTCCTGCCCAATTCCCTCCAGCTGCAGCTCCGGTGGGTGCCCGAGTGGCTGGCTCAGCAGTGGCTGGAGCGGGGCCTGGGGCTCTCCCTCTGCTCCGTGGGGGTCGGCAGGGCGAGAGGAACTGATCCGTGAGCAGGAGGAGGAGCTGGGTCGTGTTTCTGAGGTGGTTTTGTTGTTCTCAGCGCATGGTAATTGGTAATTGGTAAATGGGCAGGTTTAGCTCTGGCTGCTCTGGGCCTGCCTGTGGGTTCCTGGCTGTCTTCCTTTAACAGAGACCATTTAAAATACACCAACAAAGGCTGGAACACAACAGGAGGAAGTGCTGGTTGCATTTACTGGGTTGTTTTCACCGCTCCTGATCACAGATATCCGTGATCTGAGCCCTCACCCCCAGCTCTGTCCATCCTGGTTATTGCAGAGCAGTTCTTGGTGTGTTTCCCGTTGGAATTTCTCTGCTGCAGTGCTGGTCCGAGAAATGTCTAAAAAGCCCAAGCTGTTACAAGTTGATAATTCATGCTCCATAACCTCTAGGTGTGATTCATTCCACAGGAATTCCAGACTGGAGCTGCCCTTTAGTGCCTGGGCTGACAGCACACCTTTAAGCAAACTGTTAGGAATATTGAAAGTGCTCCAGTGATAGGATGGAATCGCTCAGGGGTTCCACACGCAGTGCAGGAGCTGCTTTCACTTTCAGACTGGGCTGCTCGGCCGGGAAGGAGCGGGTCCGGTGGGATTTTTGGGCCATCCCTCTGATCCGGGGGTCGGGGGCTGTTCCGTGGCACCGCTCTCAGGAAAACGTGACTGGAGCCTCTGGAGTTGGGAGCCGTCTCCGTGTGCTGCAGGTGCTGCTCTGTGGGCCCGGCTCTCCTCTCCCAGCCCTCTCCAAACACTGTGCCGTGCCCGGGAGCCTCATCTCCGGGGTTTGCTCCCGGTGGAAGCTGCTGCTTTGGTGGAGCGTGTTTGGTAAGAGAACTGGGGGAACAGCACTCGAGAAGTTTGCTGTAGCTGTTCCCTCGTGTGTGGGCCTCCATGTTATCAGTGTTTGTTGTCAGGGCAGCAGGGTGGGAGGTGGAAGTGGAAGCACTTTGGAGCTCGCCGATTTTCATGGTTTTCCGTGACGTGGCTGCCTGGGGGATGGTGGGACAGGCACAGACCAAGGGCTGTTCCCACTTCTCTGTTCTCCTGCCATCCTCGGGCTCACACAGGTCTCTGACACTGGATTTAGTGAGTTTTAATGTAGATTTTTCTTGGAATTTGTGTGTGTAAGCCAGACAGCAGCCCCTGGCACTGGAGCGTGAGCTCAGAGTGAGAGCTGGGACAGCACCCAGGAGCTTGGTGTCTCTGCTGTCACAGGAGCTCATTGTGCAGCACAAGGCTTTGGCCGGTGCACGTTGGGTTTGGGGACATCCAGCACGTGCTGGTGCCGTTTTCCTTGGACAAGGAATACCCTCAGCATCCTCCAGGACTGAGATGTGGCTGGAAGGGTGCCGGGAGTAGAGCTGCAAACTCTTGGTGCCTCTTGCTTCCCACTGTTCTCAATGCTTGCCAGTATTTTGGAGTTGTACTAGAGCCCCCCATAGACCAAGGCCCAGGGCATTCCAGTGGTTTTGCTAGGCAGTTTTCCTTCCTTTTGCCAATGGGGTATGATCTTTTGTACAGGAGTTTTCCTAAGGAACTGGTGCTGTTTTAGGGACAGGCTCTGCTCTGCAGAGTCCACGAGTGAGATCTGGTGGTGCGAGACATGAGCTAATGTAGAGCAGGAACGGAGAGATTCTGATATTGATTTCACCCCTCCTGAGCTCCTTTGCATGTGTAAGTAAAGCTGTATATTTGTTATGGCTCTTACGGGAATCATTGCTGCTGATTTCCTATCAAAAGCTGTTACAAATAGGAAAAAAAAAAAAAAAGAAAAGCAGCAAAGCCCCTGAAGTCTGGTGTAAGGAAGAGTCACAGGGTTTTACAGGCACTGCAGGACATCAGTTCCTCTGGACCAGTCGGGGCCATTGACCCTGGGATCAGCACACCTCCCATGCTTGGGAGCAGCTGAGCAGGAGTTAAAGGGAGTATTTAAAAAAAGGAAAAGGGGCACCTTCCCCTCCAAAAAACCCCCAAACAATGCCATTGGGAGCTCTACACAGCATTTGATAGGCAGGACGTGACCCTGGGGCTCTGCTCTTCCCCGAGAAGGTCCCCAGAGCGTGGGGGCTTTGCCTGCAATTCCCACCATGGGATCGGTGTCCAGGCCTGGGGGTCCTGGCTGGTCCCCACGGGCTCTGCAGGCCCCACATGAGCCCTGCCCACGGGGCACTGCTGGCACAGCTGTGGCACCACAGAAGGGAAGAAAGAGTCCCTTTAATTTAACTTTCCATTGCAAAGGCAGCAATCATTTTGTTCGCTGGAAGGTCACTTATTTTTGAAGGGCCTCTGACTCAGAAATGGCTTTTCAAAAATACTCCTTGAGCAAACAGTGTCTCCCAAGTGATCAAAGGTGGCTCTTTCAAATTACAGCTTCGGTCTGTGCTCTGTAGGTGGTGTGTGTGGCTGGATTCTCCATCAGAAGGTGTTGGCCACTTTGATTTCCTTGGCTTCTGGGGAGGGACAGGGTCAGGGAAGGCAGAAAGAAGGAAAAGAAAGATCCAGTGGCAGTAAAGACATCACAGTTGCTGTTCTCTGCTCCTCCGGTTGTATAGGTTGCTTTCAGCATCTCTTTTTTTTTTTTTTAATCCATTAAATCCAATGGGAAATTGGTTTCCTTTGGGATTATGGAGAGTTTAGTGAAAAAAAGTAGTCATTGGGAGGTTTTGACTGAGCAGCTGCGGCAGAGGCAGCGCGTTCCCGTGGGGTTAATCCTGCCAGGACAGTGATCCTGGGTGGGCAGCTGTGAGCCCGAGATCCTGCAAGAGGGAAAGTGCCAGGAGCTGATAAGTTCTGGGATTTGTAACATAAATACTATTAATCTAAAAGGTGTAGCAGTGTGCTGTGGGGTTTGGCTGCTGTGGGAAGTGTTGGTGCACAGGAACATCTACTGGGGGTTTGGGAGACCTCAGTGTGCTGCGGGCTGGGAGATGAGGGCTCGCTCCTGGCTCGCTGTGGTGTCCCTGGGATGGGAGCATATTTTCAGGAAAACAGGCGGTTTGGGAGAATTGATTGCCTTGAGTTTGCACACAAGTGCAGAGTCTTTTTGTACATCAGACGAGAGAATTCCTCTGGCTGAGCTCAGGTGTGTGTGCAGCGATCCGGGAGTCGTGGGGACCTGCCGGGCTCCCGCAGCGTGAAAGGCAGGAGAGGTGTGTGTGTCTCAGTTCCTGTCTGGGTGAATTCCAGGTGTGGTGGTAGTGGAGAGCTCTGTTTCCCAGAAAAACCTCTCTTTTCTGAAGAGGCTGGTGGCTGTTTGCCCATCCCTCAGCTATGTTTGGGCTTACGAGTCTCTTTTTTTCCCCCTCCTCTTCCGTGAAACCTAAACGTGCCTTTCTTTCCCAGCCCAGGACATGGTGCAGGGTGAAGAGCACAGATAAAGACCCTCCCAGCACTCACTCCAGAGCCTGTCCCGCCCGTCCCGAGGGCTCCATGCGGCAGGACACGGGCTGATGCCCTCAGCTCACCCCGCCATGGATGGGGGGAACAGCTTCCCGCAGCACCAGCAGCCGGGAGATGCCCTGTGCAGCATCCCCGGCCTCCGCCCCCAGCTCGCCCTGCCGGACATGGAGGTGAGGCCACAGCTCCTGGGGAGGGGAGGCTGTCCCCGGGAGGGCCTGGGCACATCCTGGGAGTCCTGGGGCGTGGTGACAGCAGCGGTTTCCCAGACTTTCCAGGCAGCTGTCCAGGGCCGTGCAGGATCGATGGAGGGGTTGAGGTGAGGCTGTCTGCTGGCCTTGAAGCGGGGAGGGAGAAGCAGGGCTGTGCTTAAAACAAGGACTCTCTGAAAGCTGCTGGGTGCCAGCTCCCTGGTGAAGGACTGAAGAGGGTACCCAGGATTGCAGACCTTGTTCCTCCCCCTGCTCGTCTCTCCAAGACGTGTGAACCCGTGCCTGGGTCCAGCTGTGCCTGTTTCCAGAGCAGCAGGGATAAATAAGTTGTGTTTGTCCTGGTGCAGCTGCTAAAACCGGACCAGGTCCCTGATGCCTTTGTCCAACAGGGCAAAAAGCAAACCCTGGTCCCAAAATAGCTGACGTGTTCCTGCAGTTTTCTCTTTCTGACTCTGGAGTGTGTCACATGCAGGAACAGCAGAGGTTCCAGCGAGGCCCAAGTGCCTGTTGCTTCAAGCACAAGGTTTCAGTGCTTTGGGCACACAAAGGGCAGATGAAAGGCTGCTCTGGAGCTGAGTAAGGAGATACTGTGTTCTCTCCCTGATTTCATTGGTATGAGCTGAGCTAAAAGCTTAACGTTGGAGACTGTTCGGGGAAGTGGGAAGGCAAAAGGCACAGAAGGATGTTTTTGGGTGCGACCTCTGTCAGCCAATTTCAGGTTACTGGGTTAGTGCTGGCTTCCCACAGAGACTGAATCATAGAATCATGGAATCATTGAGGTTGGAAAGACCTCCAAGGTCATCAAGTCCAACCTGTGCCCGATGCCCACCTTGTCTCAGAGCCCAGAGCTCTCAGTGCCATGCCCAGTTGTTCTTTGGACACCTCCAGGGCTGGGGACTCCACCACCTCCCTGGGCAGCCCCTGCCAATGCCTGAGCACCCTTTCCATGCAGAAGTCCCTCCTGATGTCCAACCTGACCCTCTCCTGGCACAGCTTGAGGCCATTTCCTCTTTTCCCATTGGAGTGTCCTGAATGAGTGGAAGGGCTGAAGCAGAGGATTGACCCCAGTGACCTTCTGGGGACAGTGATAGGGAAGTGGGTCCCAAAGCTGGAAATGGAGAGTAGCACTGGATGTCTCCTGCTCAAGAGATGAGGAGCCACCTCTGCCTCTGGAAAGCACTGAGGGAGGGAAGCCACGAGCCTGCCTTTGGATCTGCAGCCACAGGTGAGGGTGCCAGGCCTCTGCTGCTCTGACTGTTGTGGTTTCTCCTTGCAGAATTCCATGCTGGCCGCCAACCCTTGGAGTAGCTGCTACTCTGCCTCTTTCCCAACCTCGTCCTTCCCAAGTGAAAACCAGTGAGTGCTGTTCTCCTTTGTCTAATCCCCTCTGCTCTTGCACATCCCGTGATTCAACTGTTTCTTTACTGTTTTCCTTGTTTACTTTATTTCATGATCTGATGGGGAAATAATTGCATCACTCACCGATCTTGTGGCATTTCATACACTGCTGCAGCTTGGAAACAGCAGCAAACAGCTTTTTGTTTTAAAAAACAAGAGAAAACCTTTGATTTCTGGTAAACCTGGAGGCTGCAGTAAAAGGGGAACAGCCTTGCTTTAGCTTGGATTTGTTACACTAATGGAATTTTAAAAACACCCCATGAGCATGATCTGTCAGAGGAAACACACTGGGCAATCTCTGCCTTCATACAGACATGGAGGAAGATGTTACCTGTGCCAGGTGGCAGATTTTGGGTGAAGTTAAAATTCTTTGCCATGTCACTGGAAGTGACTGACACCAACTACCGTGTCATGTCTGCACTGAGAAAACGTGCTCAGCCCAGAGTTCATCGGGGTCGTGACTCTGCTCTGGGTCTGACTGATGTGACCTCACCCCACAAGGTGTGAGGTGACCTGTGTGGGCTCCTGTGAGAAGCTGTGCCTGACTCTGAGCTGAAGGTGCCCCAGCACAGCTCAGCACCTTGGGGCAGTACCTTGGGGCAGCAACAGTGGCTCTGATGGGAAGGATGTTAGCCACGGGCTTGCTGGATCCAGAGCAAAACTGTTCCTAGACTACCTGCCCAAAGCAGCATTTTTGGAGGGATTTTTGCATAACAATAAACATTGTTTTCCTTTTCCCCCCTTTATGATGAAACTCCATCCTGGATCAGAAGGTGGGATATGACAGATGTTTGGACAACATAAACTGGCCTTGTGCCACCACTTAGTGACTGGGATGGGGACTCTGTTGGGGCTGGGAGATGCTGTTTGTGGGACAGAAGGTTTAGAGGCTGATCCAGGGCTGTTCTTTGGTCTCTGTGACTCCAGGGAGTGGCATGGATACACAGGATGTGTTCTTTATCTAGGTCAGAGGTGGGAGGAACGAAAAGTGAAAGAAGCAGAACTCGTATCATGAGCTAATAACTGTGCTCCAGGTGCCTGGAATTAAAGTGGGGATTTAGTTTAAAGGGATTTTGGCATCTTCATGGAAAAGCAGAGATCCCTCCCTGTGAGGGTGTGAGTTCCAGGAGGGCTGTTAGTGAGGATCAGCCCCTGTTTGGGGGGGTGAGGTGTGTTGTGTCCCTGGGCTGGTTCTGGTGCTCTGGGTGTCTCCTGGCAGTGCTGGGGGGATGGACGGGGCACTTCCCGACAGGAGGGTCCAAGAAGCTGCCCCACAGGTGCTGAGGGAGCTGAGCTGTGCCAGCTCCTCCCCACAGGAGAGCAGGAGAGGAGTTCCCAGCTCCGCTCGGGCCCTTTGCTCTCGGCCGGCCGGGGCTGATTGGAAGGGGCTGTGCTTTTTGAGCAGGATTCCTGTAAACTGCACGTTGTGAATCCTCCGGAGAGCTATAACAGAATTTCTGTTTTGCTGCATCGAACCACAAGATTAGATTGTGTTTGTCTATTGTGTTGGGTTTTTCTCCTTGACCATTTGTTCTGGTTCTGCCCCTCTCTCTCTTCCTGTTCGGTGCCGCTCGTGTCAGCGCCGCTGGGAACGTCACAGCCCCATCCTGCAAGGACATGCCTGTGCCTGACACAAACCTGGGCTTGCTTTGCTGGAGTTACTTCTGGAAATGTGGCTCATTGTAGTCATTGTTTGCTAGGGAGTGATTTAGCCAGGGCTGCACCTTTAGTGTCCTGTTCTTCATAGCCTGAGAACTGTAAAAATCACCTTTCAGGTGAGATTTTCCATATCTGCCTTTCACATTAAAAAAAGTCTGTGCTTTCTGTACTTGAAAACTGCACTGACTCTGTTTTAGGTGGATTTAGGGTTAGGGGGTTACAGGTAGGAATCCTGAAAGGGATGGAATAATTGAAAAATGGGATTTTAAAGGCAGTTGTAATTGTAGCCCATGCTATGACACAGAAAAATGCAGCTGCCATTAGAGGTGGTGCATGTTTCTCTTCAGAATCCTTGCAGAGAAATCTCATTTGCAAGCAGCTGTGTTTGGACAGGGCTTATTCTCATAGCAACACCTTATCCTGAAGCAGGTTTTTCCTGTTTCTTTTCGAGAGTTTGCTTTCATGGTGGGGAATTTCTTTAGAAGACCCCAAATGTGGCCTCTCTGGTTCAGATTTTCTTAACCTGACTAATGTCAGCAGTGTATTAAACCTCCCTAAAAGAACCACTGAGGTTCAGGGCCCTGAAGAGCTGCAGCTCAGTTAATTTTAAGGAAGTTATCCCTGCAGAGCTGGGCTTCCCTTGCAGCTGGAGGCTCAGCACGTTCCTGGCAGGGGGGATCTGGGACAGCCCAGTTGTGCTGTTGGACGAGGTGTCACACAGCTGCAGAAAGGTGTTTCTCAAACCTGCAGCAAAGCTTTCTCCCCAGCTGCCAAAACACACGACCCCTTTTCTTGCCGTTTCCATGCCCTTTTCTACCTCTGTGTGGAGTCTTGCTTGCTGGAATAGTAAAGCAGGCTCTGAAATTGGGTTGGTGTCTGATGGGGAAGGAGAGTGCTGGACTGGTGCTGAGTCAGCCTGTGGCCTCTCAGCTCTCCCTGGTCTCCCACTGGCCTGAGATGTGGGGTTTGTGTCTCTGAGTGGAGGACAGAGGATGGAACCCGACCCAAACACACACAGGAGGTCTCAGTGAAGTGGCAGCGTGGGCCCAGAAGAGCTTTGGGTGCAGTGGATCGTGGATGAGCAGCTGGAATGCAACGGAATTGCAACGGAGCATTGTGGGGCTGCTGTGATTAAACCAGCACAAATTTCCTTTCTGGAATGGTTTGTGGTTGTCCAGTGAGCACCCTCGGCCTTTGAAGGAAGCTGCTTCCATAGAGCAGTTTGCCAGGAGTAAACCCTGGAGAGGCTGAGCAGGGGTGGACAGGGCAGTTTTCTGCAGGGCTGTGCTCACACCTTTGCTGTGCCAGGGTCACAGACCTGACTGTTCCAGCTCAAGCTCTTGTTCCCCAGTTCAATTGGAGCGACCTCGTCGGTGGCTCTGTGCCAGCCCTGAGAGTAACAGCTTTAATTCCTGCCTCGAGGGGAGGTACAGGCCAGGTCCAAAGGGATGAAAGGACTTGGTGGCTTTCCGAGGAGCGGTGCCTGGAGCTGCTGTGGGCTCTCACTGCAGGCTGTGGGAACAAAGTGCATCTCACATGGGCAGATTGGAAAACCAGCGTTAAGGGAAGGAAAATACAACCAGGGCTGGTCATTGCGCAGCAGGGCAGGTTGGGACGCTCTTGGGCTCCTCTCCGTTACCTGGACTGACCCTTGTCCAGGCCATGAAGTGCCAGGGAAACAGGAGGGGGTGTTCACTTTTCCAGTAAAAATAGTTTTCCCATTCCCTGGTTAGTTCCTTGGCGCTGGCCAAGCTCTGTCCTCGTGTGAGAGACGGCGAGACCGCAGCAGCCTCGACTTGAAAGCCATTTAAACCAGCCTTTTCCTGTGTGGAAATACATTCATTCCCAGAATTTATGCCCAGATTTTAATTTGCCTGGATGGATTAGGAGGAGCTGAGAGTCAGGGCTGGACGGTGGGGGCTGTGATGTGCAGGTGTGCTCACATGGGCTCTCTGCAGCAGGTAGAGCTGTGGCAGCATGGAAAAGAAGGAAAAAAGGAGAGGAGGAGTAGGGAGCTGTTGGTTTTTCAGGATATTACCTTTAATGATGGAAAACGAGCAGGAAAAATATATTTAGCAGAGGAGATAACTGTGTTTGCACATAAATCCACATGTAAATGTTCAGCGGGCGAGTTAATGAGCTGCTGGCTACACATGGCACCTTAATTGCTTAATAGTCCTTTGGCAGCTCCTCATTCCCAGCTCCTGGGCAGGAGTTCTGTTTAAGCTCTGTTCCTCCCTCCCCCAGTGCCTCCTTCAAGTGTCTGGCCAGGGGTTCTGTGAGTGGTGTGAGGGAGAACGTGCAGCTCCCACAAGAGGAAAGCAGCTGGTGGGTGAGCGCTCCGTGATTGCCCAAGGAGGGCAGGAACTTACGGGAAGGATTACAAAGCACATTCCTTGCTCCTGCAGGAGAGGGAAGGGGCTTGTGTCTGTAAGAGCAAAACCAGGAGGGGGTGTGGAGCAGAGGCCAGGAGGAAGGGAATTGGCTGCTCTGCAGCAGTTTTTGCCTGTGGCTGCCCAGGGGAAGCGGGTGCTGGGCACAGGGAGCAGGAGGAAGCTGGCATGGCCCTGCCCAGCAGGAGCAGGCAAGACCTTTGCTTTGTTCCCCTGTTAGTTCAGCAGAGATCTTTTCTTGGAACTCACATTGGTCACGTCCCCAGTTCCTCTCTTGGGGTAACAGTTCTGTCTGGGGTTCCCTGTCCCCAGCCCTTCCATTCTGATCTGCCTTTGGGGTCTGTCCAGGTGTGCCAGGGGGTCTTTCCCTGTCAGAGCTGGTTTGTGGGGCTGGTTTTGGGGGGTTTATGGCCCAAACTGGCATTCAGGAGTGATGTTTCCCTGCACCTTGATGTGTGTCCCTACATGGTGTGACTGGCAGGTGCCATCACACCCATCACACTCAGCACTGGGACATCCCAGGGGCTCCATTCTGCTTTGTTGTCAGGACTGAAATATTAATTAGTCCTGCAGACCATTTTTATCTATTAAATCCTTCCTGATTTACACAAATTACCAAGAATTATATTTTTAGTACAGCTTTCTTACTTTCTTACTGCTGAGTTTGGGAAGTGGGATAAAACTGGGAGACATATTATTTTACCTAGAACTCTTTTCTGGATAATATCCATAATAATATCCACCTCCTGTATGTGACATCCCAGAGCTGCAGCTTCACCACTGCTGAAGGCTGAAGTGACCTGTGAAGTGCTGGGGACTGACAGGGAGTAACTGCTTCTCCCATTTCCTTACAGGCAATATTTTAACCTCCCTCAGGATTTTTATATGGATTCCATCAGCAGACCACATTTCTTTGATACAAACTATGCAACTGTGGACCCCGCTGACTTCTTACCAAAAAATGGGGATTTTCCTCAGGTAAGTGCAGAGTTCATGATGCCTCTGGGGGAGAAGGGGCCTCTTTTAAAGTGATGTTTGCCATAAGCACTGGCAGTGCTGGGGGGTCCTGGCTGCAGGAGGGTCCTGCAGGGTGAGCTGAACACGTTTGAGACTCTTCAGTCATTTCCCTCCCCAAACGCTCTTTGCTCCTGTGTGCTGCACGTGCTTCCTCACTGGTTACACTGGTGGATTCCTGAATAGTGAATATTTGGGGATTACATCAGCTCAGTGCCCAGCATTCCGAGAGTGGAGCCAGGTCAGTCTTTGCAGAGCTGAAGTGTGGGAGGAGTGAGCAGTGAGCCCGGGTCACTCGGCACCTCTGGGGACCCAGCGGCTCCCTCACCTCGGGGAGCTCTCTGGGTGGGAAGGAGCTCTTTGCATGGAGGTTTTGGAACGTTGTGCTGGCTTTTGGCAACATGTTATGGTCAGCTTAGTCAGTAAATACTGGAAGTAGTTGATATGACAGCTGATCTGCAATAAGGAAGGGACTGACTCTATCCTTTCTAGGAATTAAGAAGGACATTGGTGTCTGCCTGCTTGATTCCCCCTCAGGGTGCTTTTGGTTTCTCGGTGTGGCTAAAGAGAGGCTTTAACCCTCTTTGGGGCTCTGATTTCTGCAGGATGGGATGTGCAGGTGCTGAGGATTTGTGCCTTTTGAGGTGGCCACTGCTGTGGTCCCCCCTCTCCAGCTCCTCGTGCCTTACATCAGGGACCTGCCTGGCACAGCAGGCCTGGGCAGCCACCAGGAGCTGCTGATAAGGGTCTTCTGACTGGATTAAACCAGATAAATAATTGAATCATAATAGCATTGATCTCTGCCTCCTGCAGAATTAATTGTGGGAGGAACGAGGCAGAAAGGTGATCTCATCAACTTGTGAGACCATTTACTGGCCTGCAATGGGAAGGGGAAAGAGGTCCCCACCATAGGTCTCACCTCCAGGTCTGGTGGAGTTTGGCTGATGGGTTTAACGGGAAAAGGGCTTAATTATTTCTTTAAGTTATGTATTTTCTAGTATCTCAGTGGTCAGTCAGCTTCCTTCCCTGCTGCATCACACAAATTGATCTCAGCCAGCCTGGGGGAGCAGATTTTTGGAGATTCTTTGTGGAAAGGAGGTGCTTTGTGTTGGCTGGGTGGGAAAAGAGCAGGAGGCTCTGAGACAAACCAGGTGTGAAGGACCTCAAACGATTTCCAGAAATAATTCTCGTGCCACTCATCCTTTGGGAGAGGAAGCCATGGATGGGAGCGAGGTGGTTTTAGGCAGTTGGCTTTTGCTTGGACTCTTTCTGCAGGGGGACTGCACCCATGGCAATGTGCCTGCAGGTGTTCTGCCCCAAGTCTGGACACAGCAAAGTGTCCTTCTCTGAATCTCACGCAGCCAGACCAGCTCCTTCACTGGGGTATTGTGCCGTGGTGCCATGTGCTCTCCCACCAGGAACAGAGCTGCTGGTTTGCTCGTGGGAGCCAGAATTGGAGCCTGGCTCTGGTGGGGCAGCAGGCCATGAACTGGAGGCAGTGCCATCAGTCTGCAGGCATCTGGGAGCATCCTGGAGTTTTTCCATCCCTTGCTCCTACACTGTTTTCCACTTCACTGATTTCTCACTGTCCCAGATGCCAAAACTGTTAAATATTAACATTCCACCTGGAAAGCTGCAGCATGCCATCCCGGGGGTGCAGGAGCAGCTGGGTGGTTACATCCTTCCAGGTGGCTGTACAGGAAAGTACCTGACTTTTCCAGGCTTGCCTCTGCCACGGGAGGAGTGGCAGTGCCATGGAATGCTGTGCTGGCCCGGCTGTCCCAGACAGAGCAGTGGAGCCAAAGGGGGAGCAGGAGAGCTCTGCTGCAGGTGCTGCTGCAGGTTCCTGCTCCAGTCCGTGGTCACTGGGCAGACAAGGGGATCAGGGGCTTGTGTGAGGACTTGTGCTGCCTCCACACACGGATACCAGAGTCTGGGATTTTGAAGAATACTGAAAAGGGATTTAATAGGTCTAAAGAGCAAGTGATTGATGACTCTGAGGCATTTGTGTAGCAAACCCTTTCTGTTGGTGGCCGTGCTGGGAGGGTTTGGAGAGTGGGAAGCCTGGCACCTTTTCCCTCCAGCATTGGCATTTGCTCCCCCCATCTATCCATGTTTTGTTTTGGGGGTCCTCAGCTGCACCTGCAGAGTGCAAAGCCTTTGCTGACCCGGGGATGCCGAGAGTGGGAGTTGCCACGTTTTCTGATGGCTCTGGGAATTTCTCTTCAGTTGGATCATTCCCCTCAGTGAACGGGGAAGGTCCTTCTCTGCACACCAGAACAGCCTGATGTGAACTTGAACTTGTTTCCTCCCCAGTATTTTTGGGTTCTGGCTTGCTCCTGGGTGATTCATCCTTGCCGATCTATTGGCATTTTTTATATAAACAAGTGGCTTGAGCGGAGGTTCAGAAAATAGTTCTGGGAGGCCATGCTGGGGTCTGACAGCGTTTCTGGTCTTGGGAACTGTTGTCTTCAGCCACAGTCTCATCCCAACCATGTGGTGCCATCTCCTCATGGAAAAGTCTACTGACTGCCCACGTGTCCTTAGAAATCACAGTCCTGAGAGAAGCAGGATTCGGTTTCCATTGCTTCCCTCCCTTCCTGCTGATTATTCCTCCAGCCACAGGTGCTGCTGACTTGGGATCCAGCGCTCGTGGGCAGTAATTCTGCAAAGGCACTTCTCCCATGTCAGTGCTTACCCTGTCAGAGCTGTTAACTGCCACAGTAAAGCACTGAACCCACGAGGCCTTAACTTATTCCCTGGCCTGTGCTGTCCCTCCCAGGGGCATGAGCTGTGTCTGTCCCCAGAGCCTTGTGAAGGCAGAGCACGCTGCTCTAGGAGAGCATTCCTGCCACGTGATACCTGCGGTTCTTGGCCACCACAGATTCTTCTTTAACTTCACTGTTCTGGGCAGTTTAGAATTACTGAAAGCACAGACTCTGCCCAGTTCCTCTGAGCCCCCTGTTATCTCTGATGGCCCTGCCTGTTGCTGATAGTCTGTGTTCCCTTTGCTTAATTTTGTGTGACTTGTGGCTCCAGGACTTTGCTGAACACACAGAAACCTCCTCTGCTGACTTCATCTGCCCTGAGGAACACTGAGAAATAAACCTGGGAGGGCGAGGGGGAGAGGGAGCAGCTCCAGGGGAGGAGACGCTGGGGGCACGGTGGGTGTGTGAGGGGCTCTGCAGAACCTCCTGTGGCAGGAACTCGGGGCTACTTAAAACATGAATTACTGGGCTGGAGGAAGGAGGTCAGGCCAGATGGATTTTTTTCCTGTGGGGCAGGAGGAATTGGCTGCTCCTGGGCAGAGTCACCTGCAGTAACGCTGTAAAGGTGCAGTTACAGCCCTGTTTGTGCTGGATGGGGGCTCCTGACCCTGCATGTTAATCATAAACCAGCCCTCTCCTCACCACCAGCCCCTTGCAATCTCCTGTTAATCTTCCTTGTTAAAACAGGAGGAGAAATTACCCCGCTCTTAAAAAAAGTATTAATTTTTAGAAGTGCTTCAGTACACAGAGCTGTGGTGATTTAGGAGAAATCAATGTAACAGTTATTAAATTATATGGAAGACTTGGTTGTGGCTGAAACGAAGAGTTTCCTGGAATAAGAAACATCCTGGAACTTGTGTCGCTGTCCTGGAGTTATGTCTGCAGGGAACACGGACATTAAAATGCATTTGCAGGCAGTTGCCTGGCTCAGAGGCCTTGGAAGAACGAGTGGCCTTACATGCTCGTGTCTTTGTCTTTGCACTGCGGGGCTGGGGTTTGGGCTGAGGTAGTAACACTTTATAAACCCTCTGTGTGAGATGCCTGACACTTCCTGCAGGCCTGGGGTAAGGAAGGTGAGGGCTGTGGTTGTAACTGCTCACAGTGCACCGACTGAGTGCTCGGGGTGCTCCGATTTAGGCACCCTGAGCTGATCCCCAGGAGGAGGAGACCAGCTGATGTTATTCCAAAGCAATGTCTCCTTTAGGTTGGATGAACTGTGCCTTGAGAGTAAATCTTTCCCCTCTGTGTACAGGAGGAGCTTTTGGGGCCGTCTCAGGTGGAGATACCTCTGTGGTTAAGGGAGAGGAATTTGGCTTCTGAGGTGTAATCTGTTGTCAGTTGTGCTTGGCTGTGGGTTGCAGGAGCCAGCCCGGCCCTGGGGAGGGGGTAAAAGAGCCTGGAGGGCTCAGACATCCCCCCCCATTCCAGCTCAGACATCTCCCCCCATTCCAGTCCTGATAGTTTTCATCTGTGTTGCTGCCTCCAAGCAGTGATGTCCACTGTGGGCAGGAGGGGATGGAGATCTGCCTTCTGAGGTTCTTGGCAGGGGCTGTCCCTGCCTCCTCCCTTCCCAAAGCCAACAAAAGCGGGAAAAGCCGTTCTGAAACGCTCAGTGCTCTTAAAAACGATGGCAATAGAATCCAGTAGCAGACCACAGGGACATGGCTTAAAATAGATGCTTTAATTCAAAGCAGGGTTGGTCTGAGTCAGGGGGTGCTGAAGGTTCCCCAGCACAGCAGCTCCCTGGGCTGTGCACTGGGGTTGGCTGGAAGGGGGGAAGTCAGATGTGAGTGCTGGAATAATCCTGCTGTCCTGTCCCTGTCTGGGAGCACACGTGTCCCTGGCTGAGCTGTGGGGAGCAGGGTTCTGGGGGCTCCCCTGGAGCGTGGCAGTGGCAGTTCTGGGTGTTTGTCTCGCCCGTGGTGATCGGTGGTCACACCATGGTGGTCACACCACGGTGGTCACACCGCCGTGGGCCCGCAGGATCGATGAGCAGCCCTGGTTATCTGTGTCCTGTGCCCGCTTCCTCTGCCACTGCAGGGCTCTTGGCTGCCCCATTTGTTCGCTAACAGAAAAGGAAGAGGAAATAACCCACCTGCTTTTCCAAAAGTTGCACGAATAGCAGGAGGTGGTGGTTCAGTCAAGGTCACCAGCGAGTCACTAATTAAGACATTGCAGAAATGAATTTGGCATCTT